AATTGTGACTGAAGCAAAATGAAGAAACTGTTTCTTTTCCATTTGAAAAAAAAATCGGTTCTAGAAGATAGGAGTTGTAATTGATGTACAGAATGGCATATTTATTGACTCTAGTGTATGCTGAGTTAAAATGTTGCATCTGGACAAGGTACAGAAGATGATACTGAATGAACAGGCTCCCTGCAATGCTTTGTTAGAAAGGCTGAACCACTGCTTGAGTGCCAGTCTCTGCCAGCTGCACTTCTACTTGCTGTATCTTGTTGAGGTTTGTTTTAATGTTGCTTTGGGGTGTTCCAGAACTTAATTTTTTATGTTAATGTGACATGCAGCTGTATTGTTATAGAAGTCTTGAGATGCCTGTAGTCAAAAATAACTCCTTCTTATTGCCCTCTTGACTCTCACCCTAGGTATTAAAATGTTAACAACTCCTCACCATGGTATTCCCAAATCATTTTTTAGATGAGATCCAAAGTTTTATTTCCATTTTCATATGAGGCATTTGCATGCAATTTAAATATCCATGAAGCTTATTTAATGATAAAGACTATTTGAGGATATAAGTTTCAAAGCTTGATTTTTTTTTTTGAAGGTAGGAGAGTTAAAGTTGGAATGGATGTTTGTTTTCTAATGTAAACTGCAAGAACTTGTATACTTTTGAGGTATCTTTAGAATTCCTCTAACAAAGTTTTTTGTCAGTATTATTTAAATAACATAAATCTCAGGATGATTTCACACAATTGTATTTAGAACATTGGTAAAAAAAATAAACAGTATCAATAACTTCTCTCTAGAGGCACATACATTAAAGATTGAAAGAATAATGTAATATCTAAAAAATATGAACAATGTATTAAAATATCTTAAATGTCAGCTTGAATAGACCAACTATTATTTCAGGATGATATCATGTGTTCATTTTTTTCTCTCCATTTCACTGTGGTGAGGTGATTCAAGATGTCTTAAGGGCTCTTAAGTGACAAATGCATCTACATGTTATGAATAAAATTTGAAAAGCCACCAGTTCCTCATTGTGTAATTTTCCTCACCCAAGAACACTATATGTATTAAGTATATTACTTCAAGTTTACTTAAATTTTCCTAGCTGTACTTTACTAATAAACTGCCAGTTCTTTAACACGATAAAATTAAGATAATTGCATATTTTTCAAAAATGGCACAAGGAAAGGTTTTGTTATCTATGTTGTATAATATATGTAATTATACACTAAGAAAGATAGAGAATAAAATAGGTTTCATTTTTATATCAAAATATACACATATTTAAGAAACATTTTAGAATATAAAACCAAGGAACAGTCCTCAGTGCATGTCAATTGGCCACTTCATTTATATCATATAGTAGTTTTCAGTCAACTTTGTAATGAAAATATTTTGTCAATCTGACACTTTGGCTGTATTTTCTTTATGCAGAAGTAAATGAAATTTTGTTTTTAATAAACTCAATTTTGTTATAAGAGCTTGTGAATAATAAATTCACTTCCTTAGAGTTTCACTAAAAGTAATTTAAATATTTTATTTTGGTCAGCTGTTTTAATGTTATATGGTTATTCACGTACCTTAGTATTCATCAGCGTATTCTCTCTCCAAACACTTGTCCTTATGTAGACTCAACCAGAATATCATCCACTCATTCATTTATTCATTCATCAATGTGACGAATATTTCTGGGGCCAACTCTGAGCCAGGTGCCAGGTCACTTCAGAAATTTATAGATGAATGGGAGTTGCTGCCATTTAAAAAACTAACAATAGCAAGAGAGCCAAAAAACATTCTCAAATGACTATGTTGCATTGTAGAATGGCAGTCACACCATGAGAGGGATACAGAAAGCTACTGAGTTCAGAGGGGGCAAGATTGCATTAATCCAGGGTATTAGGGGAAAAAAAAAAATGTGAAGAAGGCAACACTTGAACTGGACTTTGATAATTGGAAATTGTTAAGAAGAGCATCCTAAGTGCAGGAACCAGTATATAGGAACATACGGAAGCATGGAGAAATATCTCAGAGATGATGTGGGAAATGTGCATTGGGGCTTCGTTTAGGAATCTTTACCTTATTATTTTATTGAAGACTTTGCAGAAGAGAGCTAACACAATAGAAAAGTACCTTACTTATGGCAATTTGGCTACAGCCATGTCTAGTATAGTTTAGGAAAGCAGTTATAGAATGCAGGGGCATCAGTTCAGAGGCACTGATAGTAACCCAAATGAAAAACAGCAAGACCTTAATTGAAGAAGAGGTAGAGCTAGTGAAATGGAAGAGGTGGATCGTAAGACTTTTATGTTATATAATGCTTGGGATTTGGCAACTAATTTGTTGTGAGGTACACGAGAACAGGGCTTTGATCTTAAGGTACCAAAGCCATGAAAATGTTATTAAGAGGAAAAGAAGGCAGCAGATCAAGATTGAAAGTCAAGAAAAAGATACTCTTTTCTTTTTCAGATCTATTGAGTTTGAATGCCAGTGGAATATTCCTAGAAAATAAATCCACAGGGAATAACAGTATAACTCTCAAAAGAATAAAACTAGAGGGATAGATGTATTCATTAAATTGATGGAAATGGATAGATTGACAGGAAACCAGTGGAGACACTAAAGACTCCAAAACAAGAGAAATAAATAAAACAGAATAATGAAGTAAGGCGCTGAAAGGAGGAGACTTTTGAATCAGAGACATATTTGGGACAGTTCATCCTGAGAAAAGGCAGGGGCCTCTGAGGTGGCCAAAAAAACAGTAAAAGAAAAAGGGAACAGAGAAATGTCTGGTGTATGGTATATAGTGAAGTCATGTTTAAAAATAGGTTTGGAGAGCTTCAGACTTCTCAGTGAAATCTGGGCAAGAGTGAGGGATACTAGCTGGGGAAATTCGATTCATACAAAAGAGTATTGGTGTTATTTCATACTGCTGGTGTGAAAATCACTTAAGGTTGCAATCATTTCAACTGTGTTGCTTGCTTCTGGGCTGGATGTGATTCACCACTTGGAGATGTGACTAATCGTAGCTTACTCTGTTCCAGGCGGTGTGGTTACAGCAAAGCAAAACAAGATCCAGAAGAGGAAAAGATGCATTTTCATAATGGGCACAGTAAGCAAACTGTAAAAAAAAAATCAAGATAAAACAAAGTAGGGGACACTTTATTGTTATTTTGGCTTCTTTTCAGGCTAGAGATTTGTAATAACTGACCAAAAATATTGGGATAAAAAGTGTAAAGTGTAAGTGTTTTGTTACATTCCTCTAAAGTGTATGGGCTTGTGGTGCTGCCTGCTGACCCTAGGCAACAGCTGGATGGCTTTTTCAATTCTTTAAAGCATACTTTCATTACAATCATTAAAATAAAAACTTTTTGCTTAATATAAAAAGCTATTATATTTCGAACCAAATTTCCAGGCCAGTTCTAATTCCTAGCAACAGTCAGTAGAAATATGTCATTAAATAACACCACCAGATTAAATGAATAAATTTCTTCTTCTTTTTCTAACATTTTGGTAGGAATTTCCCTGAGGACATCCTGTAGCAGCAACCTTGGTTCAAATGACTTGAAAAAGACTACACTTTTAAGAAATGCAGAAAATCAAGTTTTAATAATGAGCTTTAAAAATCTGCCTAAATGGGAAGAATAAAGAATATAAAGTAAAAATTTCTCTTTATCCCTTAATCTTACTCCGTTCCCTAAAAGTAATCTTATGAAGTATATCCTCCCAGACCTCTTTTTATACATTTATAAAATACACACACTCAGTTATCTTTCTTAACATAAATAGGATCATACTACAATGTTCTATAATATATTGTTCCAGTTCTCTCTATTAAAAACAATAGTTCAATAAATGTTTGTATACTCATGTGTATATTTATATATAACAGATACCTAGAAACAAAATTGCTGAGTTAAAAAGCAATGCAGGGGCTTCCCTGGTGGCTCAGTGGTTGAGAATCCGCCTGCCAATGCAGGGGACGCAGGTTCGGGCCCTGGTCCGGGAGGATCCCACATGCCGCGGAGCAACTGGGCCTGTGTGCCACAACTACTGAGCCTGCGCTCTGGAGTCCACGAGCCACAACTACCGAGCCCACGTGCCACAATTACTGAGACCCATGCGCCTGGAGCCCGTGCTCCGCAGCAGGAGAGGCCGCTGTAGTGAGAAGCCTCCGCACAGCAACGAAGAGTAGCCCTCGCTCGCCGCAACTAGAGAAAGCCTGCTCAGCAACGAAGACCCAACACAGCCAAAAATAAATAAAATTAATTTTTTAAAAAAAAGAGCAATGCATTTAAAATTTGATAGATATTACCAAAACTACCTCAGAAGAGGCTTTATGAACAGTATAGGAGAATGCCCATTTGCTTAAACTTTCACCAATGGATATTATGTATATTTTTATGTTTGTCAATTTGATGAGCAAAAACAGTGGTACAAGTGAGGTTGAGTATACACTTCCTGGCCAGTTATATTTCTTAGTGAGTGAATTACCTATCCATTTCTCTTGCCTATTTTTCTGCTTGCAGCTTCCTCATTTTGATCATAAGAGTAGCCACAATATATTGAGCACTTGGCTATGTGCCAGCCACTGCCCTCGGTGCTTTAAAATAACTTTTTTCTTGAAACAACCCATTTTACAGGTGAGAAATATAAAAACCATGGAGAGGAAATTCAAACACTGGTCGTTTTTACTGGTCTCTTCTACTCTAAAGGCTGTATTTTCTCCACTATATCACTATACCAAAAAGCCTCATTTTACTGAAACAGAAACCCCAAAGGGAAGAAACCCACCCAAACGTTCACAGTCTCGTAGCTAGGATGCCCACCTCAATCCGGATCACTGGTGGGCTTTTTTCTGGTCTTCCCAGAAAACTAAGTTGAAAACTGCCAAAAGGCTGTTCAAGCAAACATATTAGACTCCGTGGCCTGTTATCTGTGTCCTTCAAGATAAAGAACCCACAGAACAAGGGTGGAAGATAAATAAAATAGAAACACCAAGAAACATGGAGACTTTAGCCCCATTCCAACCATATCACAGTCAAAGCAGAGAGCTGATGACCCTACAAGTCAGTCCTGGTATGGGTTTCAGTCACCTCCCATGCCAAAATGTTTTTTAAAACTCTGAAGCTAGACGAACTATTAATCACAAGCATGAGTAGCAGATAGTTTGAGGTTCTGCTGTTTATAAAATCAAGATGTTTATTTTATAATCCTTTTACCAAATAACCCAGAATGAAAAGTTCCTAAGACTTTTGCCTTTTTTTCTCAGATGTGATTAATGTAGTGAGAACTACTATAGGAAATATGATTTTCTGATATTATTGTTCATACTGATTATAAACTTCTAAAGAAAAAGAGGATGGGACAAATTAAGTCTAAGAAATTTACAAAATCCCTTCCTTCAAAATCATTAACTAAATGTCTATCTAATGAATTGATAACAGTTTTAAACTGGGTACATGGAGACGCATTAAACAATTCTTTCTACCTTTGAGTAACTAAAATTTTCCAATAATAAAAAATTTAAAAACAAATCTGCCTAAATGGGTTCTAATTTTATTATTATTTTAATATGTTCATTTTTTAATAAACAGTACAGTGCGAGTTGATTTGCCAAGTAAATGACAAAAAGAGGTTTTTTGTTTTTGTCAGTCTGCCATGACCATGAAAGTCAAAATCATGAAAGCCATAATTCATGCTGCAAAGCATTTTTGAGTCCATTTTCACAGTACTATCTTATTTAATGTTATTTATCATCAAAAAATACTGTGAGGGTAATATTGGTAGCCTTTAAAATGTGATGAAACTGAGGCTCATAGAGCATAAGAGACTTGCATAATGCCCTGCAGCAACAGTAGAGTGAATTTCTCTTTTCTTCTTGACTTCTTTGTCAGTCTTATAGGACCAAAGCACCAGAAAAGTTATTTTAAATTATTTTTGTAAAACCTAAACTAATCATCCGTGATGAGATTTTAAGGAAAGCATAAGAAAACAAACCAACAACTAAACCAGTAGTATTTCATTGTCCAGTTTAGTAAACAAAAGTGTCTTAGTTTGCCTCAGAGACTGACTCCTGAACATTAGTGTTGAAAGATGTCCTTATTCAAATACGTCATCACATATGCACTTCTTCTTGTGCATGCCAACAATTCAGATTTCTAAAATTATAAAACTGAGAGCTGTACAAATGACTCCTATAATTCAGGAGAGGGTCTGTCCTTGCAGCTCTGTCACTTCTAGGAATTGGGGATTTAAACCATAGTTGTACATTAATAACGTTTATAATTTCACTCATCCATCACAAGCACTTCGATTGTAATGCCCATTTATTTTTACAGTTAAACTGCCAGGAGTAAGAACTTATATTGATCCACACACCTATGAGGATCCCAATCAAGCTGTCCATGAATTCGCCAAGGAGATAGAAGCTTCATGCATCACCATTGAAAGAGTTATTGGAGCCGGTAAGACGGTGTGTTTAACTCGGACTTTTAACTTGTGTTTATATTATAACATGTAATATATCAATGTCCTGATCTAACTCAGAATGTTTTTAATCCTTTGTAATTGACTTGCTTTCAAGGTGGTATATAATTGACCATATTTTAATATTACCTTCTGCCTAGCTCATACTTAAACCAACAAATGTTTGGTTTATGAAAAAAAACAAACCAGCAAAAATGTATATTCAAACATAGTGTTTTGCACCATCTACTGTTTATTATATTTCATATATAATATATATAATTTTTAATACCCAAAAGTATTTACAAAATTCAAGCACCCAATTATTCTACTTATGAATCATCTCTTCCTTAAGACTGTTTCTTTTTTGTCCTGCTATGGCCCTTTTCTTTTTTCTTTTCTCATTAGTGTCACTGCTAGAGTAGAAAGCAAGGAAGAAGGAGGTGATTTTCAGTCAGTTGCTTTTAATTTCTTTCTAATGTTTCCATTAAGGTTTCTGTAGGTGAGAGTGATGAAACTAATAGCCCCCAATGTGTCTTACGATCACCTGTAAATGATTTTTCCCAATGCACCATTAATTTAACATAGATAAGGAAGTTTGACTCCCTTTCAACTCTGTTTTATCTAAAGCTTACTATTCTAAGAGAACTTTAGACTACTGTTAGAGTAGGGATTTGTAATGAGTTTCTGTGTTTTCTATATCTTTATCACAAGGTGAATTTGGTGAAGTTTGTAGCGGACGTTTGAAACTTCCAGGAAAAAGAGAATTACCTGTGGCAATTAAAACCCTTAAAGTAGGCTATACTGAAAAGCAACGCAGAGATTTCCTGGGTGAAGCAAGTATCATGGGGCAGTTTGACCATCCTAACATCATTCACTTAGAAGGTGTTGTGACCAAAAGTAAGTACAATGACAAATTATGCATGTGTGTGTGATCATAAATATCTGAATTTCTTCTATTAGATTATTATTAATTTCAGGCTAAAGAGAAAACTGGCCATAATGTGATTAACAATTTCCCTAATATTAATAGTATTTGTCCTATATTTTAGTAGATTCTTGTCAAAGCTGATCTTCAGTGAACCCGAATTTCTATTTATTATTTGAAATATTTGTGTTAACTCACTTACTATGAATTCAGCACCAGAGAAAATGTATCCAGATAAAAGGAGCAGTAAAAGTATCAATTTTTTTTCCTCTTGGCTCTTTCACTTTTTATCCTAATGAAATATTAACTTCAAAGTTTTGATTGAGGCATTGAAGTTTAGCATTTAATAGGATTACTGTAACCATAGATGCCCACCACCTTTTAAGTGGTTTTTTTTATAGCCAGATGTATTTCTTTTATTGATTTTTTTCATTGAGATATTTTAATAGTTCTAAGGAAAGCAATTGCCTCAGAAGACTGGGAAAGTTCCTTGAGACTAATTATTTTGTTAAAGGAAATCCTGTTTTTACTCAGATATGTCTGGAATTTCACATCTCTCAGATTCTTGTTAGTGTCTTGTAAATGTGGTTATTTGTTTAGCTTCCCAATATAAGGATTTCAAATAATTCTTCAGTCACTCAATAAAGTATTTATGTGACACATAACTGAGGCCTTTATTTTCTTTTAATCCATTTTTTCTTTGCCATTCCTATGTATCTTTTTCCTTCCTTTATACCTCATACACTTCATACCACTTTGTAAAATTGTCTGAAACATTTGGCAAGGAACACGCTTTAGACTTTTTTCAAGCACTGGTTCAACTTCCATTTGCTGTTAATCAAGTTTTAAGTTATATATTGCCAAATGTGCATAGCAGCAATGTATGTTCAATAAATGTTCTCAACCGATGAAGTAATTTAAATTTATTGGATTTCCATTTATGCCATTTAGCTTTTAAATATGGAAAACAAAACAAAAACAACAACAATAAAAACTTTTTTCCAATAAAGAGGAACAAAAGAAACAACAACCAAAAAAATTACTGGTTTATAACCAGTTAATTCCCAAATCATGATTCATTCACAGTAGGTCACAGATGAGAACACAGAAGAAAAATACCTTAGCTAAAATTATCATGTTGATGATTGGCAGAACTTTTGAATCAGCCTGTATTGCTGGGAGATTGTTTTTCTCCATGTCTCAAAGAGATACACATCTCCAGTAAGAATGCCCATAGGGGAATGTAGCATAGGAATAAAATTACCTGCAGCCATGTGGGTTTCTTCAAACTTGGGTGTGTTACTTGTCATGTACCTCTTAGCCATCTGTATGTCTTCTTTAGTGAAATGTCTATTTAGGTCCTCTGCCCATATGTATGTATATGGCTGATTCACTTTGTTGTACAACAGAAACCAACACAGTACTGTGAAGCAATTATACTCCAATAAACATCTATTAAGGAAAAAAAAAACAAAAAAAAACTTAGATGTGTTTCTTTCCCCCAGTTGAGTACATGCCTAAAAATAGGTAAGAGACAGGGACACAACGCAGGTGAGAGACAAAGAAAATATATATTTTTTTGAAGGAATAAAATAAATTAAAATATTTTACAAAATCATGCCCTATGATGAATGGGGAGGAATATTTTAAGTGAGAATATGATGTGAGGGAGATGGTCACAGGTACAATAAAATGAAATCAGAATTTGAACGGGACTATACTCTATCTGAGGGGAAGGACTTTGAAAGGACATTAGTGATAGCATGTGCTGGGCTAGATACTATGGGAACAAGAATCATAACAGTGATTGAATAAAATTATTTCCTATGCCGGAAAGGTATTATCTAATATAAAACATACTTCTTAATGATAGTCATAGTAATAATAGGATGCAAAATATTTGATATATTTCATGTCTTCTTTCCATCCATAATATGACTGCTAAGTTTCACTTCCTCAAATAAACTAGGACCATGAGTTCCTCTTACCCAGGGTATATGTAAAACTAATGCCTATATGTAGACAGCCAATCCATCCTGTATTGAGTTAAGCTGTAATGTGTAGAAGAGTGCCAGATCACTATTATGATCATGGAAAACAGTACTGCATAATGGTCAAGAACATGGGCTATGGCTCTAGCCACCAATTTTCATTTTGCTTCTGCCATAAACTACTATGTGACTTTGCACAAGTTGGTTATACATTCAGAACCTTAGTTTCCTCACTAATGACATGGGGTAAGAATGCCTCAGTGATGTTGGGAAGGTGACATAAATTAATACAGGTAAAGTTTAAATGGGCATGACACAGAGTAGGTAATTAATAAACACATGGTTGTTACTTTTCCATTTATTTCTCTTCCTGTGCTCTGAACTCCTCTATATCCATTTCATTCCTAATCCATTTTAATTGATATGTTGCCCTGCCTACATTGCCTCTTCCTCTGAAACTTAACTACCTTTTCAATCCCTTCAAAATCTTATTCAAATTCTATCACCTCCATGAAATAATTCCTCATCACTTAGCCCTGAAATAATCGCTCCTTCTTTCGAACACTGTACCTGTATAAGGATTTTTGCAACTGTCAGTAATGTTCCCTCCTTTGTCCAAAACTCTTATTCAAATTTTCATTTAATTTTGTCTCCTCTGCATATATTTTTAGCTCCCTAGCTAAAAAAGTCTGCTCCATGAAGAAAAAAAAAGTCTGCTCCTTGAAGAAACAGATTATGTCCTAAATATTTATGTAAACCCATTACACTTAAACCTAAAACCAATCTATGGTCACTTTAGTTAAGCACTCTGAGCCTCAATGTCACAAAAAAGAAAAAAATCATACCTGCCTTATAAAAATTTTATGCAGATTAAAGATATATTTGTGTGTGTGTGAACAAATTTGTAGGTAGTTATAGTAGTATTTAGTTTAATCTGTTTAGGTGAATTCATCAAATATCATCAGATATTAGGAGACAAGATCCCAAAATTATTAGAGCCAGTAGTCACCTACTTTTATAGATCTCTAATTTATTACAGAATTTGTTTTATGTGAATGGGTCCTGACTGAGCAATATAAGACAACTAAACTTCTCATAGTAAAACAACTAAATTTGTCATAGACCATTTTATATGCACTTGAGACCTTTATTTTAAGAAGCAAATGCCATTATCAGCAAATGATCATATTTAAATTCTGTAAAGTCTAGTCTAAAACACAGGGCTGTGGTTGAAAATACAGACTTTAAATTTCCAATCTTCTAATCAAATATTCTGTTTGATGTTGCTGCGGTGAAGTTACACATACAGGTAAAGCAAAATGTAAATATTTAAAATACTTCTTTGTCTTATTTTTTTTTCTGTTTGAATTGAAACTGTATTTCCCCTTAATAAATGTAGCTCTTGATGTTCAACTTAGGAAGTCTTCAACTTGTTTTTAATTTACCATGTTGCAATTCACTTTATTTGTGTCCTTAATTTCATGTTATCTGATCTGATGCTAATTTATTCAGCAGTTATTCTCAACCTGCAGCACACAGATAATGAGACATAAGTGCAACTAAATCTTGTGATTGTTTTGATTGAAGCTGAGGTGGGGAGTCTGAAGTAGCACTCCTCTGGGTGGTGCCATCACGAACCTTCCTCCTTCCTCTATCACTGCCTTTCGTGACAGAAATATGGGGCCTCATTCAAATTCCTTCTGTGATTTGTGGTTAAACAGGAGACATCATAAATAAATATATATTCTAGAGAGACTTATGACAAATGACGTAAGAAACCCACAGGTCCTGGCTTAATTGACTCATTCACAATGCATGATGCTTTAATGTAACATACATAGAGCCAGTTTTACAATTCAAATAGATTCAGGAATAAAATTTAGAAGTGGAAAATTATAATTTTTCCATTGCAGCAGCCTTAGTTCTTTAAGATTTATTTTTTCCACCCATGGAAATATTATAAAAATTGACCAAAGGAATATTTCTATTGAAATATTTATAGTTATATAAATATTTATATAATATAATTATGTAATATAGTTTATAAAATGTAGTTATATAAATATTTCTATTGAAATATTTATAGTTATATAATATTTCTATTGAAATATGTATATTTCTATTTAAATATTCATACTTATATTTCTTAATCTAGGATAATACACAAATAAACTTAGTTCTCCTGTAAAATTAATAAATTTAAACAAAATATTAGAGAAAAATTAAAGAAATGTCTCCCTGTTTTTCTTTCCATGTCTGAGGAAATAACACATTCAATGGCAATTGATTATTTAAATTGTCAGATAATTCTGACTTATATAAATTTGTAATTATCTTTCAAATATAGTATTTCATTCTATCCTGTAAAAGTCCATTTTATTTTACAGGCCCTTATTATATATGACCCAGGGCTATTCCAACAATCTTCAGACTAGTCTTTCCATTTTGGTATTTTCCAATGGATATTAGTCCATTCCATACATTTTATTAAATCAATTTCCTCTCTTGCTTCATCACCAGGAGCAAACAAATCAAGCAAAATACATATACTTTGATACTGAACTTGATATAATTTGGCCATATCTCCATATTACACTATTTCCTTTCCAGAAAACTCTACCTAGTTCTTGTTCTGCTCCTGGAGATACTTCATTCTGCCCTAGCATGTCCTCTCCACTTTCCTCAGTTCTACTCGACCTTCAAGTTTAATTCAAATGTGACCTTCTCCATAAGATCAGTGTCATTTCTCTTCATTTTTCCTTCCATCCTCAGTGTCTGCCTGGCATAGAGTAGGCCTCTCAATAATGTTGAATAGCTGAATAAAGGAAAGCATCCCAGTTCTACATTTGTTTTATTTTGCTCACCTGTGTGTTCCTAGATCTGTGCTCAGCATGTGTAGCATTTCATGTATTTGTTGAATGAATGCTCAGCCAGAGACAATCTTACAAACTCTAGCTGCATTTCTCTGCACTTTGTCATAT